GCAAGCCTGGTCATCTGAGTTGGATTCTTGGAACCCACATAAAGGTGACAGAGGAAACTGATTCCACAAAGTTGACCTCTTGACATCTACATGCAGTGTCACAGAGAGAGAGAGAGAGAGACAGAGACAGAGAGAGACTAATAATAAAATTTAAAAATGAAACAAACAGTAGGCCAGTTTACTCCTTTCATATGCTGACATGTGATTATCCCAGCTTTGTACTTATTTTCCTATCGGAAACGTTCACCTGGAAGGCAAAGATAATCTATAATAAATACATTTACATTTGTAAGTTTTATTCACTTATGAAAAAAAAAATGACATCTATATCAACTCACCCAAGAACTAAAGTTATTAGAAATCCTCCATCAGGACATCTAAGCCAAAATATTAAGATTCAGCCAGTTCTAAAAATGTAAAGATTGTTTTTCCATTTACATGGCAAAAACTACAGACCATAATTGCATGAAGAGAACAGATCTCTTACCATTTCTGGATCTCTTACCATTTCTTTTTTTTTTTTTTTTTAAGATTTAGTTTTTATTTTATGTGTATGAGTGCTTTGCCCACATATATATAAATGTATTATGTGCATGCAATGCCAGAAGAGGATGTTGGATCCCCTGGAATTGGAGTTACAGACAGTTGTGAGCTGCCATGTGGGTGCTGGGAACTGAACTCAGGTCCTATAAAGAGCAACAAGTGCTCTTAACCACTGAGCCATCTCTCCAGCCCCTATCTTACCATGTCAATGAAACATTCAAAAAATAGGCAAGTTTTAAGTTCACTGCAAAGATCTGTCACTGGGCAACCTGAACTTATTTAGGAAGTTGGTAGAAAAAAATTCAGGCAGTCAGCATGGTACATGGAAGAGCACCCCTATAATATTAGCACTGGGAGGTGGAAGAAGAAAGGACAGAGTTCAAGGTTATTTTCAGCTACGTAGTAAGTTTGAAGCCTAGGCCTCAGGAGATCTTGTTTTAAACAAAACAAACAAAAAAGAAAGAAATGTACTGTCAGGCAATTTTGTAAACTGTCCAGAAATAATACTGTACTTATATAAACCTAACTGGTTTATATAAATCAGTCATTGCAGTGGACTTTTACTGCAACGTATGAAGCTGCTGAGGATAGCATGGTATACTGTCTTATAGCAAAAAATTTAAGTATCAGTAGTACACTCTAAGTAATAATTAAAAAGTTCAGTAAACAGGAACTGGAGAGATGGTTCAGCTGGTTGAGAGCACTGGCTGCTCTTGCAGAGGACCCAGGGCTCAGTTCTAACAACCATCTGTAACTCCAGTTCCAGGGACTCACCCTCTTCTGGCCTCTATGGGCATTGCATGCACATGATACACTTATTTACAAGGAGGCAAAACACTCATATACATAAAATAAAAATAAACATTTTTTTGAAAGTATAGTAAATAGTTAAACCACCAGTAATATATTCACTTATTATCATTTTCAACTATTATGTACTGTCAATACTTACATGCATGGCACCTTTTTATTATTTTGTGAGACAGTCTCACTCTGTAACCCAGGAAAGCCTAGAATGCATGCCTCAGCCCCCCAAGTGCCAGGATTACAGAACTGAGTCACCACACCTGACTGTGCTTTTGACTGGCAACAAGTTTATATCAGCAGCACCACAAACATGTTTAGTAGTGTTTTGTCATAGGACATTAGGATGGTGATAATTTTCAGCTCCATTATAATCTTATAGGACCACCTTTGTGTATGTCTCCATTGATGACCGAAATGTTCTTATATGGAAAGCCCACAAACCATTTACCCATGAAACAAACAATAACAAGGATGAGGAAATGACCACAATGTATAACCTTCTGTGGCAAGTAAGGCCCATACTTACCTGCTTTTACTGTCAAAAGTTATTCTACCTTGTAAATGTTTCCTCTGCTATAATTCAAATCTATTTCTTCAAATGCCATCATCAATTTGAAGACTCAAAATCTTCCACAATAAAGGCTTTAATTTCATTTTTACACGTGTTCTAAACTCTTCCTTGAAACTTGAAAACCAGGGCTGAAGAGATGGCTCAGTGCTTAAGAGCACTGACTGCTCTTGCAAAGGACCCAGGTTTGATTCCCAGTACCCACATGGTGGCTACAAACCATCCTTAACTCTAGTTCCAGGAGAATCCAAAGCTCTCTTCTGACCTCCATGGCATTGCATGACACGGGTGCACTCACATACATGCAGGCAATACACTCATACACACAAAAAATTAAAATTTAAAAAAACAAACAAACTTCAAAACCAGTAACACCTGTGTTTTTGTTAATCCTCTTTTGCAACCCAGAGCTCATTATTCAGCAGTTTGGATACACAGAAGGACTATGATTCTCTAGACAGTTAAAGTGATGATGGCATTAATGATAAGCTTGACTCTAAGAATAAAGAGTTATAAATTGGGCTGGAGAGATGGCTCGGCAGTTAAGAGCACTTGCTGCTCTTGCACAGGATCTGGGGTTTTGGTTCCCTGCACCCACATGGTGGTAAAGAACCACCTGTAACTCCAGTTCCAGTTCTGGCCTCCATGGGCACTGCAAGCACTTGGTGCACTTCCATGTAAGCAAAACACTTAAACACACAAAAATAAAATTTTAAGTTGATGATTTAAAAGCATATATAAGGAGAAAACCAAGATGTAATCAGCATTCCAATTTCCATGTGCTAGATGAGGTCTGCCTTTGTAAAAGCTCCTGTGTTAGACATATCTGCAGTTGATGATGCATGCCTCACTGGGAATGGATGCTTCAATGCAGCAGTAGCATGCTATCATTTTAAATCTTCACAAGTTTCATTTTAAGAATTTTGTGGCTTTAATTTCCAATTGTGACACTGATTTCCAAAAAGCAGTCTTAGATTCAAACATTTCATAGTGAAGTGGTACCACTTTTTGTTTTATGTAAAAGTTTTACAGGGCCTCAACCCTAAGTCAATGTAGAGCAGTAACCATGACTATTTCCCTATTCAAATATATAATACTTGGAATCATTAGATAGTTTCAACTGAAATAGAAGATTTAGGAGTAAAATACAAGAATAGAAAAGACAGATTTCATAAACCTGAGTGATGAAAATCAATTCAATGAGAAATATAAACATTTGCTTAGTGTATACAAGGCCTTGGGTTTAAACAAAAAATTAGAATAAATAAGAGAACTGGAAATGTAGTTCAGTTGGTATCATGTTTGCCTAACATGCATGAAGTCCTGGGTTTGATCCCTAGCACCTCTCAGAATAGGTGTGGTGGCACACATCTATAATCCTAGCACTGGGGAAGTGAAGGTAGGAAGATGAGGAGTTCAAAGTCAACCTCAGTTACATAGTGAGTGTGAGGCCAGCCTGGGTTACATAAGACAATAATAGAAAAGAAAAAATATATAAGCACAGTGGTGTGTCCATCTGGATATTACTATATGTTTTTGGTATTATATTTATGACTTTATGCTCAAAAAGCATTACATTAGTTGTCAAAATTTAAACAAAGTGAGCTGATGATTCATAAGAGGCAACAAAGTCAAGTTGTTCTAAGTACAGGCTCTGGAGTGAGAATGCTTTTTCTGTTGTCACCACCTGCCAGCTTTATGACAGACAAATCAATCTCTCTGTGCCTTAATTTCTCTACCTATAAAGTGGAATTAATAACAGTACTTCCATCACTGATTTGTTGTGAGCATTAAATGAAAAAAAAAAAAGTAGATCACTTATAGCAGTTTGCCTAATTGCTTTCACTCAATAAATGCTAGCTATCATAATTATTACAGAAGTGATACAGCCACACTGTACGGATACCAAGGAGCCTTGTGAATAAAGGTAAATTCCAATAGAGAAAAGTAGCAAAATTAAAGTGTTGTACCAAAAGGAACATGGTAGAAATATTGTGTGAATAACATCCTTAAAAGAACCACATTGATGCTGAGCGCAGTGTTCCATGCCTTTAATCCCAGCACTCCAGAGGCAAAGGTAGGCAGGTCTCTGTGAGACAGGGGCCAGCCTGGTCTACATAGCAAGTTCCAGTCCAACTAGGGCTACAGGGAGACTCTGTCTTAAAAAAAAAAAAAAAAAATGCTACCACCGAAACAAAAGTACCTTACTCCTTGTTGCTAGAAGACATGGCACTTGCCTGTAATCCCAGCACTTGGAGGGTAGTCCCAAATTCAAGCTCAGTCAAGGCTACATAAAAAGAATCTGTCTCGATACCTCCTCATCCCACCCCCACCCCCAATGAACTTTACTGTAGCACTCACCATCAACAGTCATATTGGAAAAAAATCAAGTAAGCTTTAGCTAATCCAGTGTTTAATGTATTACAGCAACGTTAACTTAATTTCCCCCTTTACAGTACTTAAGTTTTTAGAAGATCATTTTTGTTTGATAACATGAGCACAACAGGTTAAGGACTCTATACCCAGATGTAGGCTTGTTACACTGTTATGTAAATACATTTTACCCACTCATGAGTCAGATTTCAGAAACATCTGGCTTTAATCAATTTCAACCAAGTTTTTTAGTCTTAGCAAGAATATAGTAACTAACATACTGACACATAAACAAAGGAGAAGGACCCTAACTCCTTGTCCAGAGAATCATGCCTCACTCACTGGCAACCTAGTCACTAGATGCAGGAGGCAGGCAAAACTCAGCACAAAAGAGAAATAGGTGTATGAATGTTTGAAGTTTGACAGAACAAAAAGCACTTCATTCCTGTTTTTGATGTGTGGAATTTTACTGGAATTAAAATTAGGTTTATCAGTACCACTTGTTAAAAAATAAACATATTAGGGCTATGTGGCTATGCTATAGTAAAGAACTTGAACTTCTTCCATTGAGTTTTTTCTTTTAATAGTATGGCAACATTATTTACATAAAGGAAAAACAATGTTTTATACTATTACAAAATTGGTACACCTTTGACATCTCAAAGTCCAACAGCTGTTTCCTAATTTAAACAAGAGAGAAGATAATTACCTGGTTTGGTTCAAGACTGGATGCTGCATAGCACCTGGATCAAGAGGAGGTGGGTACTCTGAACTAATCACTGAAAGAACAATAACATAGCACTTTGCTGCTTAGTGAAGCATAATCTCAAGGACAGCTAGATGCACACAATGCAAAAGAATAAGGAACCACAAAAACCATTCTTAATAAAAACAAAAAGAGAGGCAGAGGCAGGCGGATCTCTGTGAGTTCCAGGCCAGTCGGTCTACATTATGAGTTTCAGGTCAGCTGGGGCTACATGGAGACTCTGTCTCAAAAAGACTGAAAAAATCAAATCAAATCAAATAAAAAATACCATTTATTCCTTGTGCCAAATGAAAGTTACAGTGTTCAAACTAAGGATAATAAGATTTTATCCAGAAATACTGTATCTGAGGAGTTTTTGTCCGGTTCTAATTGTTTTGAATTACTTACTTAGTTATTTTTGAGTCAGGGTCCCACTCTGCAGTCAAGCTGGCCTCAAACTTTGGATCTTCCTGTCTCCATTCCCTGGTACTGGGATTACAGGAGCAGGCCACATGCCTTGAACTGTCTACTTTAAATATCCTTATTTTCTCAGGACTTGGGGGGAGGGGTTCATCGTAGAGTGCCTGTCTAGCATGTGCAAAGCCTTGGGTTCAATCGCCAGCACTACATTTTTTTTTAAAAAATCAGCTTTGTAAACAGGTGTGTGGTGACACATTCCTATAGTCCCAGTACTTGAGAGATAAAGGCAAGTGCATCAGATGTTCAAGGTCATCCTCACCTACATAGTGAGTTCCAGGACAGTCTGTGCTAGAGACCCTGTCTTTAAAAGAAAAAAAGTCAGGTTTTTCCATTGATCCTCAGTCCCTTCATCAATGCCTGGCATATGAAAAGGGCTCAATAAATTTTTGGTGAATTAATGGATGAGTGAATAAAAATTCTTAAAAGTTTGTGATAAGGTATATGTTTAATTGAAAACTGGAAAAAATAAAAACAAAACTTGTGTATAGTCAATTCAGACTCCAAATATAGGGTTGAAGTACTTCTTTCTGTATCACAAACCCACATCTTTCCATTTAGAGAAAAATATTTACAATTAAATAAGTAATAAAAACAGTTTTTGATTGATTCAAACTTTTATTCTGGTTTATTAATATCAATTACAAACATAATTGGCTTATCTGTAAATGAAGTAATCTGAAGACCAATAGGAGAGAAAAAGTACTGTAAATTTCAGAACTTTGGACTATTACAATATAGCAGTCTTACATCTAAGTAAACTACTTCCTATCTGCTGTATCAAATTATACTGAATGAGTAATACTTGGTAGTTCAAAATATGTTATTTATCAGTACAGCTGAGAATGCACATAGCAAACTAAAGTGATGGCTGATGTTCCTAAAACACCCAGGACACAGGTCCACCCAAGCTTAACAGCAAATCCTAAGAGAAAAGATAACTTGGTTAGTGCCAAGAAAAAAAAAGTATTTCCACTGGCTCTCGAAGAACACAAATAGGTAAGAGTTACAAAGATTTAAATACATGTCTTTTTTCAAATACATACATCAACCAGTATTTCAGAATAGTGGAAAGCCCAGCATAGACTACAGACTCCAGATAACTGTAGCATATGCGTAAGAGGCCCTGGCTCATTAAGCATTCATTTTAAACACTGACGTTTCTCAAAGGTAAAAGCAAGCAGAATAGAGGACAGAGCATGGACTCTGGGGGGACTTGGCCACCCGCCAAGTAATATAAGAAAGTCCATTCCTATCACCATGATCACAACAAAAGCACTTTGTAGTACTCATCAGTTGTTTCTGAAACTCAGAGCTTTCCCCCCATTTTATTTCTTTTTTTAAAACACTACTTTCCACAGACGAGACAAAGACAACTTCTCCCCAAACTGCTAACACATATTAGCCTAGTAATAAGAGCATATTTTATGACAATTAACATGTGGAAGCTGACCAGCATGGTGGCACGGTCCTACAATGAATATTCCAGAGGTGGAGAGAGGAGGATTGCTGCCACTTCGAGGCCAGCCTGATCTACACAATGAGTCCCAGGCCTACCAGGACTATGCAGGGAGACCACGTCTCAAGAAGCTTTTACAGTGCTTTAAAAATTGAAATTTCAGATCTGAATTTTTAGTTCTTACCCTCTGGTAATGTTAAGAAAAAGAGGGGAAGAAGAAGGTAGGATACGCATTTCTGAAGACTTGGAGCAGACCTGAGTCCAAGTGTGTGTAAAGAGTGCATCTTCCAAGTACATGGCAGGACTGCCCCCACAGGGTGCTCTACTTCTATTCTCACTGGGTTCTGAGAGGTGAAGCCAAAAAACTCAGCTATCAAGCATAAAGGGCTTTGGTGACTACAGTGAAGAACCATAGAGAAGTAGAGTCAGTTGTGTAACAAGATCTAACAGACCTGCAAGGTAGGCCTCCCAAGTTCTCTAAGCGGGCGGGCTGACTGCATGAAATCTCTGCTCTCAAGTTGCCCTTGCCACTGCTCTCATCATCTGCCAGGCTCGTTGCAAGACCTCAAATGGTCTTTGTGCTCCACCCTTACCCCTTCTATTCTCCACAGCACAGCTCAGGACTACTCTAAAACTTAAGTCTAGCCATGTCACTCACTACCTGGCTTCAAACTCTTCATAGATGAGGATAAGGTCCAGTTTCCATGGCACATCACCTGACCAGTTTGTCAGCCATCTCCCTTCTTACTGCCCCCATCCCTTCATCCTTCACTCAATCCTAGGCTCCAAATAGCTGGAACTACCTAGCACAAAGCATCCATGGAACATCTGGGGCACAGGCTTTTGAAAATTAATGTTTCTGAAGTGTTGTAAAATTATAAAAAGCACAAAGAAGGTGGATGATGGCTCAGCAGATAAAAGCACTTGCTTCACTAGCCTGACGACCCGTTTGATCCCTGAAGCCCACAGTGGAAGAAAGGAATTGATTCTCAAAAGTAGTCCACTGAACTCCAAATGCACACCATGGCACTCAACACCCCTCCCCCCAACACACACTAATAATTGATAAAATTTTTAAAAATTAGAGAGTATAGGGTTGGCAAGACAGTGCAGTGTGTAAGGGCCCTTGCTGTCATGCCTGATGACCTGAATGCCCACACTCAAACACACACATCATACACACACAAAAAAAATTTTAATGTAAAATTTTCAAAAAAAAAAAAAAAGAAAGAAAGAAAGAAAAACACTGATCTTACCTCAGTATCTTCCAGTTCGTTGGTTTTTGGGGGGTTTTTTTTGGGGGGGGGTGTTGAGACAGGGTTTTATGTCATGTAGCCCAGGCTAATTTTCCTGCCTCTACCTCCCAAGTGCTGGTATTATAGTCCAGCTAGGTCCTCTTTTATCTAACTGTAGGATGGGTTGAGAAGTCAGTTTTTGTGACAGGTGACAACAGCCCTTATAGGCACTGAAGAGATAATGCACAGGGAAACAAAAACTGCTCTAGTAAAGTAGTCTCCGGTCCTAGGCTGTGATTTCAGTATAACAGGAAGCTAAGACAGGAGGATCATGAGTTCAAGAATGACCTGAGCTACATAGTGTGTTCCAGGCACAAGGCAAAGGAATTGCAAAGCAAAACCTTGCCCCCTACCTCAGAGAAGGGGGAGAAGCAGGGGTTAGGGGAGAGATAGGGGAGGGTCCCTACTGCTGCAAGAGGGTGACATGATGGTTGAACAGGAGCTGGATTAGGTCAAAAGGATGGATGCAAGTTAGGGGCATGTGAAGAAGGTTTGGGGTAAAGTTTGGGGAAAAGAGGTAGGCTGAGCCTGTGGGCACAGAGCATCATAGACTAACAACAGGAGATGTCCTATCCACTACAATGCTGTCTTGTATCAACAAGGCCTTATCAAGTATGCCTCAAGTATCTCTTGGTCTACTCCATGCCCATCGGGGAATGTGTCTGCAGGCCCTCCAGGAGACTCTGGCACCTCTTCTGTCAATGGAAAGAGAGTAAAAGTAAAAACAGTATCCACAGTCACTACACTATATAACTCAATGTGCTGGGTGAGTGAATCCACGTCTGGATCCTTCCCCACCCTAGCAGAGAGGGAAGTCAGGCAGGTCTCTCTCCCCAAGTGGCTGAGTGTGGAAGTGGATCATGTAGTAAACATGGTATTGGGCAAGGGGAATCTGTAGGTCCTTCTAGTTTGAGCTTTAACCTCTCTCCCCTGCCCCAGCTCCTCTATCCTGCCATCCCCTGAGTGTACCCATGTGGGGACCAATGTGACCCTGAGCTGCCTGTATCCAAGCAGAGCAGCTGCTTCCTTCCTCTCAGGTTTTCTTTGTACCACTTTTAGGTAAAGGAATTTCTGGAAACCACTGAGACTGTGGCTAGAAAAAGGAGCAGATGAGAGGTCACTCTGGGACCGGGATGACAAAGGGAGGCAACACTGGAAAGGACAGGGGAGGAGAATGAGAATCGGAGGGGACAAGAAAGATGGCACACCAGGTGCAGGTGCTGTGTGCACTCAGCACTTCCACGCCTGTGCAGTTACTAAAGAGGCTCAGAAGCTAGACTACCTGTGTTCAAATAGAATAGAACCTATTGGAGTAAAGTGCACACAGTAATGGTTAGTGTTTGAAAAGCTCTTAGACCAGTCAGTGGTGCACAGTTAACACTACATTATTGTAGGAGCATATAGAATAAGCTATCATTATTACATGTACATGATGTATTGATGTGAGTACTGGGCCCCAGAGTAAAATATACTTCTTCTTGTGTGTTGTGGTCATAAAAGATGTACAACTTGGGTTTCCTTAAAATCAAAATTAAGGAATGCAATATATTACAGATATTTGTACAACTGCAGTTCAATACTACAAAAGCACGCTAATCACGAAAGCATTACCTACTTGGTATGCCCACTATAATGCCATCCTGAAATATCAGTTTTACCCTTTCAGGTCATTTTTTTATGACACTGCAAAGTAATCGCTTGTTCATAGCTCCTAAATTACATCTTCAGCACAAGACCATGTACCACAGCAAACTGTTCTATTAAAAGGCATGGCTTTTTACACAACCAATCACTTAAAAGTTC